GGTATCTTTTATAATATTCATTAGATAAAGGTTTAAAGGTAGCGTTGTGATTAAAAAGTATTTTAAGATAAAGCGGCGTCAAGCGCCCTTCATAGAATTGTACTTTTTTGATTTGTTTTGTTTGTTAAATATATTTTCCCTCCCACTCCCCCCTATAGTTCGGTAAACATCACTATTAGAAGTTTCACCAACAAATATTATTAATTTCTATGGGTTCTAAAGGAAATAAAATTAAGAAAAATAAAAAATTATTTGTCGAAAAGTTCTAAGAATTTTAAATCCTTGGGATTATTTTTTCATGAATAAAAATTGTTTAAAGATCACATTGTGTCAATTTTGATTGAACAACAATAAGTAATATTAATAATTAAAAACTCAAACGAACAATATTTTTGACTTTGCTAGATTATAGTACATATATTAATAAACAAATAAATAAATAATTATTGATTGTGACAAAATCAAATAGTGATTATCATTCGCAGATAAGAATAAAACAAATAAATAATTGGTTCAACATTCTATGAATATATAGAATGGCAGATTTTCTATATTTTTTCTGTCCTGGCATGATTAACATGATACTGCTCCTGGTGGCGTAGTTGATGTTCATGTGGGTGAACTGCATCAGGGAAGAGATAACGATGTTTAGAAGATTCAATACATTTCTTTGCAAAAGGGATTGTCCCTTCTTGACTCCAGGGTCTCCAGTTCACAGGAGTTCACAGGACCCTAATGCACTTATATATTCGACAAAATCTTTGCCTAGAATATTTTTAAAGCAAACTCTCTGTATCCGTTCAAGGGACTAGTTTTGGTGAACTGTGAGAGAAGAGTTCGATACAACACAACAGTACTCGACTAAACATCTAATAAAAGTTTTATGACAGTTTCATCCCGACATACTTCAGATTAGAGAGGAGAGATTTCCTGACATCTTCTTACAAATCTCCATGGTGTTCAGCTCCCAGTCCAGGGTGTCACTGTCAGTTAGCCAAATCCCCAACTGTACAGATTTAACTTGAGCTAGATTATTGTTGTTAAGCTGTAGACGTGTACTATAATCTCCGACTGCTCTTGTTATTAGCATGTATAGTTGGATTTATCAGCATTTAATAACATTAGGTTCTGATAAGTCCACTGAGATATAGAGTTAATGTAGGTCTGTGTACATAGGCTCTCGTTGGTATAAATAGATGATCAACACCTATATCACAGGGTACATGATTTTTAACGTTGTAGGAAGTTAGACCATGGGATAAGGTCAAAGAGAATAGAATATATATTAGAGTGGAATTTAGAGAATCTCTCGTTATGAATTTTTTCAGTCCCTTTCAGCCTAAAAGTGAGTTCAAAGTGTACAAATCATGTAAATGTTCACAAATTAATACAGTATGTTCCCTAGACTATCCATTTCAATTTCGAATTTTTAAAGCAGTTAAATAAACTTTATAATGAATTAGGTAAATAAAAAACATCATCTGATTTATAAAGAAAAATCATTGTTTGTAAAGTGAAAGGCATAGAGTCTATGTGAAATGATCATTGGTCAATTATGAAACCAGCCTATTTCATAATTTGGTTTTCTTTTAAAATTAATTTTAGAGTTTCTATATAATGATATTCCAGGGCCCAAAAGTTTATATAGCATATATATGTGAAGTACACCTGCAGTATGGAAACAGTACAACAAAATGGCCGTTTTACACTTTTTTCTAGTAAATTTCCCTCTAATATATATATTATTCTCTTTGGATGAGGTAGACAAGGAAATCAGTTTTAGGAAGGTTAGGTCATCTACATATTTAAACCTGAGGGTTTCATCCACACAGTCAGCATTGTTGTTGCACTGTACGAGGTAGTCCAGTACACCAAGCAGTGTACCTTAGGGTCCACCTCCAAGCATATGATGTACTCTAGATGTATTTCCATTAAACTTTACAGACATAGATCTTTTGGATAGGTAGCAAGTTAAAACACGCACAATAGAGGGTCGCACGCCCATCTCTAAAAACTTCTTGATACCAATGGTCTGACATTGTCTGTCAAAGGCCGCAGACCAGTCCAGCATGGTTGTGATGACTGACGGAGTGTTCAGGTTCTGGTCCAGGCGCTTCAGGATCCTATCCACCAGGGCAACCATGAGATGATCAGTCCCAGTTCCCTTTGGGTTTGTAGACTGTGCAAGGTCTGTTTGGCAGAAATATCTTCTAGAATCCATTTTTTTGGAACCTTTCAAAAAGTTTGTCAAAATTACTAGTGCATAAGATCGTTCTGAACTTTGGGCACAGGGGTTGTACACTCAAACTTCCAGGTTACAAGATGGTTTCCAGACTCCAGGCAGGCATTAAGGATGTTGGTGAAAGGGGTTGCTAACTCTGCAGCAAACATATATGCACAAAGAAATCTTAATTCCTTAATTTTGCAAATATTTTGATATTGTTTATGTGTTTATATCCTGTTTACACAATTTACTGTACAATGTACACTGCAAATTTACGCTTTCGTAAATCGTTGAAAGTTCAAAAATATACTGTCACATTACCCTTCTACCTTATAAGAACATACAGAGCGTCCCATATCATATTAGATTATCTTCAATCTTTAACGACAAAATAAATCTTTAATACTCGAAAAACTTATCATTTTCCGCAAGAAAATTCTTATATAAGCCTTATATTATTTTTCAAAATGATAAATTCTAATTAAATTTTCTGATTAGTCCCGAAAATCGTAATTTAGACCCGTTCTCGGTCTAATATGATGTGGGACACCCTGTACTTTCCCTTCCATTTATAGGATTGGTAAGCAGTGTACTTTATGCAGTTTATTGTGTACTGTCACATTACCCTTTTACCTAATATAAATATACTTTTCCATCCTTTTATAGGATTGGTGAGCAGTGTACTTTATGCAGTTTATCGTGTACTGTCATATTACCCTTTTACCTTATATAAATATACTTTTCCATCCTTTTATAGGATTGGTAAGCAGTGCACTTTATGCAGTTTATCGTGTACTGTCACATTACCCCTCTACCTTATAGGAATATTCTTTTCCTTCCTTTTATAGGATTGGTAAGCAGTGTACTTTATGCAGTTTATCTTGTACTGTCACATTACCCTTCTAACCTATATAAATATACTTTTCCTTCCTTTTATATATATTGGTGTAAAAAATTTTGTTTTTGGGGCTATTTACATCTATAGTCCTTTTATAGGATTGGTAAGCAGTGTACTTTATGCAGTTTATCTTGTACTGTCATATTATACCTTTCTACCTTATAGGAATATACTTTTCCTTCCTTTTATAGGAACAGTAAGCAGTGTACTTATGCAGTTTTCGTGTACTGTAAGTAAAATTCTCCAAACTTCCTTTTAGAGAAATAAATGATCTTACAAGGAAGTTTAACTGCCCTTTTAGTTAAAAAAGGAGGTATAATTTTGTCTGGTGGAAATGCAGTGTGGTATATAGATAAAAGTCAAATCCATCATACATTTGGAGGGGGGGGGGGGGNCCTCATCGCATCGGGGGGAAAACATCCTAACATCCATTCTTAAAACTTTCTATTTCTAGCTTTGGTTCTATAGCAAAGTAGGGCTTAAACAAACTAATCGTTAAAGATTAATTTTCGAATCAATTTATTTTTATATTTAGAATTTTCTATGATTTCTAATCCTTTTTGAAAAATCCAATCAACATTGTGATTAAAGATTATAGATTTATATTTCTTATAATTAGCTCTTGATAACACTTAATTGTAGGGGGTGAGTTATGTTTTGAGCCACGGGGAACTTTTTGAAAATATTATAATGACTTTTTAAAAATATTTTTTACTTTTTAAAACATTTTGAACCAAAACAACAATTTTTTCCCAATCTCTGTTCAAGTTGTGTACAGAATTGTTGCTGTATACAGTTCTATCTTTTGAAATCATCGTTTTAAAACTTTTTACATTGAAGAAAAAACTGACATCAAGACTTTTTGCAAATTCGTTATTATTATTATTATTATTATTATTTTCGGACTAGAATCCGATCTGGTCCGATGAACATATTTGACTTAATTAGTAATAATGGACAAAATAATTTCAGAAATAAATAGGGTAAATATTAGAGAAAATTTTAAAAACAAGCATAATACGGTTTTAGGCAATTTAAAGAAAAACTATTGATCATCATTAAGGTTATATATATTAAGGTTATATATATTAAGGTTATATATATTAAGGTTATATATATTAAGGTTATAAACCCTTTTTCATCTAAAATTTTCCGAGTCTAGGGACTTTTTTTTAGGGCATATAAACAGTGTATCCCACAAAACATGGCAGTTGGTGAATAATTTAAAATGTCTTCTTTCATAAATTTTTAAGTTGGTTAATAACGAAGAGAAGAAAAAAAAATATTAATAGTATCATATATTATTGCAAAATTTATTTCATTAAGTAAAATATATTGAGCAAAAGATTTTTTTCAATGAAATAAACTCCAAAAAGTTTTAAATATTTTATACAATATATGGAAGAAGACATTCAAAGATTTTCACCAACTTTCCGTGGGACACTCTGTATTTTCTTCAAAGCTTTGATTCCTGCAATTTTTATCATGCAAGACTTTATAGTCAGCCACCATTTTAAATAAAAATCTCCTCGCTCATATATATATATATATATATGTTAGCTATAGCTAGCAAAACGGCTGGTTTAATTTTTTTTAGGAAATCCATGTCCTAGAGGTAACATATGCTAAGCAAATCAAAATTTCTTGTTCAAAATTCTAATTTTTTCCTTCCAAAATTTAGTTCTTTCTTAAGAATTTTTGAATTCTTAAGAATTCTTATAAATCAAAAAGTCTCAGGAATCCAAACCCTTTGATTTTACTTGAGACTTCGGAATATTCGAGCTTTTTAATTCATATATGTAATCAGGTAAAAACTTTCTTGTACTAGATGCTTTTCTATAAAAGATATTTTTACATTAACACACTATAAATCTTATATATGGTTTTTATTGATATTTTTATTTTATTTTACAACAATACTGTCAACAAACACGTATGCCACATCATTGTAATCATCACCATCTAGACAGATAATAAATTTATGTCTACATGATTTATCAATTTACGCCTATAATAATTGTATTTTAATTTGATAACCTAAAGTATCACTGTGTTTGTAGTTTGTTAAAAAGTTAAAAAAGTATTAATTGAAAGTTATAAACGGTTTAAAGATAATTTGAAAATATTTTAGAAAATGTATTTACTAACTATGTCTCCCCTTCACTGCCAGCATATCCTTTTTGTTCTGCAGCATCTGCTTCATCTTCTCCTCCTGTTTCAGAACCATCTGCTTCATCATCACTTTCCTCTTCTTCATTATCTTCGCCATCAACCTCTTCATCCTCTTCATCTTCACTTTCAGCATCTTCCTCCTCACCACCGTCTTCAGTTTCTTCAGTATCAGTCTCCGTATTATTACCAATCCCAGTGTTACCTTCCTCAAGTGCTGTTGCATTATCCCCAGGATATGCACCACCATCAACACTCTCGGTTGTATTAGTACCAACTCCTTTCTCAATTGGCTGTCCATCTGCACTTCCTGTTGCATTACTGCTTTTCATTGGCTGCCCATCTGCACTTCCTGTTGCATTACTGCTTTCCATCTGCTGCCCATCTGCACTTCCTGTTGCATTTCTTCCGGTATAAGAACTTTCTGTTGAGTTACTACCCTCAGTACTTCCTGTTGTGTTACTACTCATAGATGCATCAGGACCCTCAGTAATAGTATCACTACCTTCAGGACCCTCAGAGATAGTATTACTTCCTCCTGTACCCTCAGTAACACTATCACTTCCTTCAGGACCCTCAGAAACAGTGTCACTTCCTTCAGTACCCTCAGTAATAGTATCATTTCCTCCTGTACCCTCAGAAACAGTATTACTTCCTTCAGGACCCTCAGAGATGGCGTCACTTCCGTCAGGACCATAAGTTACAGTATCATTTCCTTCAGGCCCCTCTGTAACAGTATCACTTCCTTCAGGACCCTTTGCAACAGTATAATTTCCATCAATATTCTCTGTAACAGTGTCTCTACCTTCAAGACCCTCTGTAACAGATTCAGTTCCTGCAATACCTTCTGTAACAGTATAATTTCCTTCAGGACCCTCTGTAACAGAATCAGTTTCTTCAAGACCTTCTGTGACACTACGATTTCCTTCTTGTTCCTTTCCTAAAGCATCATTAGTCTGACCATATCCACGAGAATCGTCATTCTTTCCTTCATCAAGCTTCGCATATCCAGCTGAATCATTAAGGTCTACTTCTAATAGCTAAACTAACACATTTTTGACACAGAAACACAGACGAAAATAAAAAAAAATAAAACTCCTATATTGCCCAATGCTGAATATTTAGTCTTTTAGGCAAAAGACTTGTTTTACAACGTTTATTTTGATTTTTGTAGGAAAGAAAAATGATGTTTTGAAACAAAAATTATGGTATGTTAAATCTTAAAGAAGAAGTGAATTTTGAGGATTATTAAGTTTCGGATTTTGCTCTAGTAACAGGAGACATTAACTTTATTACTTCTTATCAATCATTAGGATATTTGCATTTCTTTATGTTTAATTATATAAATCATTAAAATTAGATATTTTACAATCTAATCTGACAACGATTCACACATTGTTTAATAAGCAAAGGACACAACTTTAAAAACAAATTAATTTCTAACAAACCAGGGGCGATTTACAAAAAATTTCTTTGGTGAGAATCGAGAAATTGCGTGGAAAACATTTTTAATGATTACTACTAAATCCTAAAACAACCGGGGTTAGAAGTAGAAATTTTGATCCCTGAAAAAATTTCTTTTAAAAAAATTTAGTGGCGTCGCGAAAAAATCCATTTAAAAATCAAAATAAAGGAGCCAGAATGCTATATCTCTTAATAACGAACCATTTATAATCTTTAAACAACAGATTCTTAAAACAAATAGTAATCCAGTAAAATGTTTAACTTTTCTTTCAATAATCATGTTGTATAGAATTTTGAGGAATTGCAAATAAATTATTGCATTGATAAAAAATGTATAATTAGGTTTTATCAAAAAGGTGTTCCTGATGTTCTCCATTTATTTTGGCAACGAAGAATTGCCTTTCTGGAGGTGTAGAACGAGTTGTTTTATTTTATTAAATAATTCGAGTCAAAAAAAATTCATTTCAATTTACAATTGACAGAAATTGAACTATCAAAACTATTTTTTTATTTGGCATATCAGGGAAGCATTAATGGTGGCTTTTATTCGAACTCTAATGACATGCTTATTCAAAAAAGGTTTTTACAAAGTAAAACTTAGTTTTTCTAACCCCCATCTGCATGCTGAGGTGGAGTAGCTAGAGAGGCGTAGTTTTCATAGAGGTTGGATAGATACAATTGTTTTCACAAATAAACCATCTTTATGCTGATTTAAGTTAATAAACTATTTAGGCTCATATTTATGAATAAATAACTCTCTAAGCGGAGATGCATTAATTAAAATTTTTTTTAGAAGAGATTCAAAATAAAAACCCTCGTTAAGCTGAGTTACAATTATAAATCTGTCTTAAGCTGAGCGAAATGTTTGCAATAAAAACTCTCTAAGAAGATAATCAAAATAAAAATTCTTTCTCAGCTGATATATATTAAATGAAAACTCTGTAAGCTGAGATTTTAATCCTTTCTAAGCTGATGTGCATTAAATAAAACTTTTTAAGCTGAGATGAAAATATGAAAACTCTTTAACATGAGATGTTAAAAATAAAAAAACTCTCCTGAATGTACAATGTGTAAACTGTGAAGTAGAATCACTAAGCCAAGTAGGTAGTTCTGCATGTTACAAGAAATAAGAGAATACTATAATAATTAGACCAAGAATTTCTAGGCTAGTGATTAGAATTTTGTAAACTTATTATAGAAATTCTGGATTTTATATAAAAATTTTACCAAATTCAAACTAGACAAAGAACGTTAGAAAGATATAAAAAATTAAAAATTAATTTGAAATAATTATTTTAACTTTTTGAGGCACCGGTATCAATGAATATAATAATGTAATTTACAATGAACAAGATTTAAGGATACTTTATGTCCCTCTTTATGTATTTTTTTTTTAACATCAACATGCATTTTGACCGTCATATACCCTACCATATTTTATCTTTTTAGATACTTTGCTTGTTTGTCCATTTGTATCCAATAAGCGTCAAAACGTCTGAAAGGAAACGATTGGGCCCAAAATTGTTACGGAAACCCACATGACGGGGGAAGGTTTATGGACCGTCGCAATTGAAAATCTTAACCAGAAATAAATGTGTACATATTTTTTTAAATGCGCCTGTGCAGTTTAAATAGAAAATCGGCGAAAATTTAAGAATTATTAACAATGACGATTTTCAAAGGAAAGGATCCGCAATCCTTATAATTCTGAGGTTGGGATTTTTTAAATTTAAGTTTATTGAAAGCATTACAAATGACTCGGCTACTTTTAAATGTTGAAAAATGAACGTCAAAATTACGCCTTCATACTAGGATTTGTACATAGCATAAAAATATTGTGTTTATGTATACGGTAGGTTACAGCCGTACAGGCTGGCCAAAAGGTCGGTCGGTGTTTATTGCAGGGACGCAAGAAGGAATCCTTGAACCCTAGTTAGCGTTCTTGTAAAAAGCTTCATCAATTATTAAGACAGGGTCAACTTTGAAGTGTCGCAGATCTTCTTGGGCTTACCGCTGTAACTCAGCCACTTATGCTTTAGTGAATATCTATACATGTACGTTTTATCACTATAAAGCACTAGTTGTTAGCTTTGGTTTTTAAGAAGTAATTGACTTCTCCTCGATTTTTGCTTGAGAGCTTGCAACCTTTCAATCACAGTGTATTCATCATAAAATTGCACTAGATTCTCTGATATCTTTTCTATATATTATCTATTAGAATTGTTTTCTTATTTTTTGCACTTAATATCTGAATTCGATGATTTGATCTTCCAATATAATTTTTATCAATTCTGCAATCTGTTGAATACTCGTTTTTCTTTTGATGTCTTTAAAGTCTTTTTCAAACAATTCCAACGAGGGAGGGAGGGAGGGGGGGGGGACGGGTCTACGCCAACGTTTGGGGTCAAACGTACCGCCGGGAAATGTTCCCTTCTCTTTCCGTAAACTCTTAAAAGTAATTGCTATAATCTAGACTCCTTATAGATTTATGCGATATTACTGGTTTCACTTTGTGAACTAGTAGCTCATCTAGTTTTTAATTTAACGTATGATAAAGCAATTTTATCCAGTTACATATTTGCATTTTATAAAAGGAGTTATTATTAAAAATAGATAAGATGTGAATCTTACGTGCAAAATACATTAGCTTGGCGTGAAAAATATATAATAGTTCAAACCTCTTTTTAATAAACTATTTTCTTTTTTAAATTATTCAAAATTAATGACGATATTGTCTGTAAAAGCATAAACTAAAAAATATTTTAAAAAATTCAATTGATAAAATTGATCGAACTCTCTGGAAAAAATCGGCTTCTAAAAGACCCTAATGAATGGATGGTGTGGTGTGGATGTGGAAGGGGTGTAACTCCATCGCCCCCCCTTTCTATATTTAAATCAAATACAGGGTCCTATACCCTGTTTGTCTTCTAATTATTCATGATTATATTCGGGGCCTTGTGATAAATTGTTTAAGCTTGGGGGAGTGCCTTTTTGGACAAACAGTCCGGGAAAATATTCAACAGAAAAATTATTCTAATTCTTTATTCCATTCATTAAAGTAAAACTATAGAAATGTTGATAAAATCGTTTACACATAATTTACTAGAGTGTTGTTTCTTGGCGTTGTATTTTCCTTGACTGTAGATTTGTATAAGATGAACCGCTTGTAGATTCTGTGCTGAATCCTACTCCTAAACCCATATTCGGATCATTATCCCTTAAACCGTCCGATATAAAACTCATAAAATTCAGCTAAATAAGGTTTATACAAAGTTTAGATTTGGTGAAATAGTGACACATTTGATTGAAATTCAAGCAGTTGAAACTTACTTAAACGTTTGAACAGTGAACGAACAAATTTACAAAACAGGTGATCTTATCGTTTTAGAGGCAATATTTCTGAAAAAACTTAGGAAAAAATAAGATAAAATGCCTAAATCCTGGTTGTACAGTGAAAACGGAATTCTCATTCAGGAAAAATATATCAACTCGGTTACGGAAAATGATATAATTGTGAAAAATAAATCAAAATCAAGCGTTAAACCTCCGAGAAAAAGTAAAGGTAATTTTATCTTACAGAAAATATAACTGCTTGCAACAAAATTAATAGAAAAAAGTATCTAGAAAAATTTACGAATACAAATAATATGCAGCGCATGTTTACTTTAAATACTTTGAAAAGAAGGGGAGGGGGCACTTATTATGCGTTCTTTAGACTGAAAAAATTAAACTTTTAAAATTAAACAGTGTTACCCACAATATATGGGTAACCCTGTACTTTTAAGGAAACTAAAACAAATATTAGACTAGATTTTCTTTAGAAAATGGAAGAAATAGAACATCAAACACTGAAGATGTGAGGAGAATAAATGTTGAAAATGAGAAGATTAGTAGGAAAGGATTAGCCGAGGATAATACTCAAACTCCAACTTTTGAACAATTTGGTTCAACTCAAAGGTAAATTAAACTGTCAACTTAGTGTTAGTTTGTTTCAAAGACTTTTGATTACAGTCTAAAAACCTACAGATCGCTGTACTCGACCTAATAAAAATGACAATTTTAGACATTGAAAGATACATAGAACTTTGACACTGCTCAAAAAAATCTTTAATAAAATCCTTCGATAAAATTCTTTAAAAAACAGGTTTTTATCACGGCATAACAATCGATTTTTTAATATTAAAAAGTGCTTTAGCAAACGGTTATACCTGTAAGGTTTAGAAAGAACAAAGATGACAATTGTTCCGTTTTTAATAATTGTACACATCAAAATTTATTGTGAAATTTTTCGAAATTTCTAACTCAACAAGTATTCGTACTTTTTTTTGGTTATGTGAACCAATAATTATAGAAATAATTTTCACCTGCGCAAAGCAATATATCACTAATTTCACGCCCGCAGAAATTCTAACCGGACGCCCCCCCTTCCTCCATAGAAAATACCATAGCTTTGATCAACACAATTTACCCTGTAGTTTCTAATATAAATAAAATATGCATCTTTATTTTACTTAATTTTTCATGAATTCTGATTTAAGATATAGATTTGTGAACTTGCCCTTTAATTTATGGGTAGGGTGGTTGATATAGTATAATCAATAATCCATGAATGTAAATTTTATAAAATTTTAATAAATTCTTCATTCTTCATTCATACTTTAACACCATATTGGGGAAAAAATCCAAACGTTATGTTCGATCTCTCAAAAACATCTGAGAACAATTATTATCTATTACTAATAGAATTCAACGTTTTAAGATGCTTTTTTTTCATTTTATGATCTAGTGTACAATTTGTAGCTGGATTAAAGTCGGTGTGATATATACATTTAAATTATGAGAAAACTACTCAGATTCATTTATCTTGTAGTTATTAGGGAAACCCTATTTAATGAAAATACTAACTACTCAGATTCATTTATCTTGTAGTTATTAGGGAAACCCTGTTTAATGAAAATACTAACTACTCAGATCCATATTCTTTAATATGATTAAAAACTAAATAAGAATTTGTTTTCGTTTTTCAATTATTTGTTAAATAATTTAATGATCTTTATACTAAAACACCATAATAGCTTTATTGTTTGATTATGTTCGGAATTATCTTTAAAATATACATATTATACAAATTATACAAAAGGACAAAGTAATTATTGTAATTAGTATATTTAAGAAAATGATAGGTATCAATATATTTTAGTTACATTTACATAACTTAAAGAAGGTATGGAATACATATCTACAATCTACATTGTGCTATAGTACATTAAATGTTGTGTTTTCCATTTAGGATTCAAATTTCTTCATTTTTGACAATCTTAAAAGTTACTCAAAAATAAAAAAAATGTTCATGAATTTGTATATGTACTATATTTAGAAATGCCTATAGAAATCAAGGTCACATGATTATAAATACCTATTACTAATTCCAACTAGCTAAACATTTTTATTATTTCATTTCTGGCAATCATTGCAGAAAAACAGTTTTAAAGCAATTTATTCACATTTTAGCATAATAAAGAAGACATCTTTACTTAAATATTGATGTCAACATATTTTTTCTAGCGGTTTGATCCATGCAATTATCAAACATATATATTTAAAGGGAGTGTTCGCGTAAAGTAAAACGGGGGTATAAGCTTACGGCAAAAAAGCGCTTTTGATCGCTACTATTCTTACTTCTGTCTGTTGTGTCTTTAAGGAGAAAATTGTTAAAAACGACTCATGATGAAGAACTAGCGTCCATACAGATTAAAAAAGTTGCAACATTCAACTCGGATCGTAAAATAATCAATTTAATTCCAAAAAAATCATTCAGATATGACAACCATTAAACATCGATTATTTTTCGACGCATTCATATATAGTTAACATTTCATAATATTTTTTTAAAATCATATTTCGCGAATGCGTCGAAAAATTATCGATGATTATTTCTTGTAATATCCGAATGATTTATTTGGAATTAAATTGATTTTTTACGATCCGAGTTGAATGTTGCAATTTTCTGGCTTTGTATGGACAATCCAACCAAAAAAAAGAAAGTATAGTTTGGGATATTCGTTGCAGCTTGTCTATTCTGTTCTTAAGAAATTTTAAATATTTACATATACAAATGGCATCTTGTATTCAGAATTTTCTTTTTCTACAATCTAAGTCTACACAGTACACACAAATATCTTATAAGTAATGGGCATACATTGAAATATTTAGGTTCTTACATAAACTACTCTTGTAGATGGAAAATAAAACAAAATTTTGTAAGCAATTAATTACTTGGCTTAAGTTCTAACTTACGTCTTTTCATCTTTCCGATGGTTTAAACCTCTGAATTAAACTATATTTGTTTTACAGTATAATTAATAATTTGAAATATCAAAGGTCTTCAATGTACGGATTAGAAAAAAATTAAGGCTGTTGCGAATAATCAGTTGGTGCTCAACGTTTTTACCCCTAAAGGGGTATTTTACAATTCTAACAGCCAGGGGCTATTCAAGGGTCACGGCCAAGGTGTTGGGGCTGGGGTTGGTGCGCTAAATTTCCTGATCTCCATGAGGCTTGGAACCATTTCGATCATTGATCGTTTTGGTTCTGTTGATAGTTTAGCGTTACTACTGTGTCTTCTCCCTGCCTCTAGTTTCTGCAGAAGTGTCGCTGAAATAAACAACATATTTTTTTGTTCATTGCATAATTACTTATTGATTTTTAGAATAAGGTTTAACAAAAATAAACTAAATCAATTTATGTAATGAATAGTTTCTTATTCGTTTTAGCCATATGTTTTGCCTTTTGGCTTTCTTGTCTTATTTATACAGTATAACCCTTGATTTTTTAAAGGAACCGTGCTGTGGGCGTCATTTTAAATATCATATCCTATTTACCTTTAAACCATTGTTTGATCTAGAATAAGTGGATTTTTAAATTTTGATAATTCACATAATAGTTTCCTTTAGACCAGAATATTTCATTGATATGTGAAAAATGGATCCCATGGTCAGGTTGTGACATTCGTCTTGTGTTTACTTTACAGCCCGGAGAAAGTACACTGCAGTACAAAAAATGCGTTCAGCTCTGAAATAACTCTCTTTGCATTATAATTCTTTGACTCAGGCGGAATTTATTTTATATTGCTATTCAGAGATAGAGAGTTACAAAGATCAATTATCAGCTAAAATATGCAATATTTTCCACAGCATGTTCTATTGTGTACAAGTACTGTACACGACCAATCAGGGATATTTAAGGATCCTTTGGATACGACACACAAAATCTTCAAAAAAAAGAAGACTCAATTAATAAATGTTATGTTTCATATTTAAAATTGGAGTATTTCTTTAAAAGTTGCAAAACTTAACCTTAACTTAACTTAACCCCTTTATGGGTGTTATGTTCAACAAGTAGCCGTGAGATGGCACTCTGAAACCTATCGTAAAAACGTAACATGTCGTGCCGGGTCAACTTAGGCCTACGTAGGTCGTAGCCCACTCTGTGAAAGGAGATAAGCAGTCTATGTAGTCTGTGGTGCTATTAGAAACTGCAGTACACTTGTTATGTAAACAAAGATATGGGGGTTCGGGGTGTATTCTTAACTATGTTCTTTCTGTAAAGACTATGACTTTGATGTAAAAGTTTACAAATTCTGTTTCTTGCCTGAATAAATCTCATTTTACAGCAATGTTGTACGTGACAAAGATATTTACATTTTTCGGCAAATATATATTTTTAGATTTTACAGTTATGAATACATTTTCCTTGTCAAAATATTTTTGAACTATGGTAATTTTATGTTCGGTTTATGCAAAACAGACAGATCTATAAAAGTCTAACTGGAATGATTTTCTGTGCTTAAAGGAAATGAAAGGGTNTGTTTGAGCGGAAAATGAAGCCTGGATGGCACATTCCTCTGCTATGCACACTATACAGTTTTAAGTAAAGTAAGTTGTAAAATACCGTTATGTACTCTGTACATACAAGTCATTTATTGGAAAATAAAATTACGAACTACGGTAGATTTTATAAAATTTTGTAAGACCTCCTAAAATCCAAAAATCCTATATTATCTAAAAGAAAATACACGATAAGAATGATGCCAAAATCTAACTGTACACCTCATAGTACGGTACATTTTATTTTGAACAGCTCTATTGCTTACCTTTGTTTGGTCGTACTAGGGTAAGCCGGGAGGGTCTAGTGAAAACATCCATTTTATTATCATCGATTATTTATTAAATTATACTATTCTTATTTTTAATTATAATTAACGATCATATAATATAGAAAATAACCAATCATTGAATATCGTACGAAGCGTTTATTTTACCATTCACAGGGGCGGATCAAACCATTATCTCAGGGGGTCCATAATCGCCCCCCACTCTCCTAAAAGTTGAACAAAAAGCAGTAAGTTTCTTTTCTTATTTGTTTAAAAAGTATAAGTTCACAAACTCTAGTTCTCCTAATTTCGATCTGTAAAATCTAGTTCTCTTACTTTTTATCTGTAAGCTCCCGTTTTTCTTATTTCTATCTGTAAAAGCAAAGTTCTTCTACTTTTTATCTGTAAACACCAATTCTCCTAATTTCTATCAGTGAACTTCAGTTCTCCTATACTTTATATCTGTAAACTCCAGTTTTTCTACGTTCTATCTGTAAACTCCAGTTCTTCTACGTTCTATCTGTAAACTCCAGTTTTTCTACGTTCTATCTGTAAACTCCAGTTCTTCTATACTTTCTTTCTGTAAACTCTAGTTCTTCTACGTTCTATCTGTAAAATACAGTTCTGTCCTACTTTCTATCTGGAAACTTACAGTTCTCCTAATTTCTATTTGTAAACTTCAGTTTTTCTACTTTCTATCTGTAAACTTCAGTTCTCCTACTTTCTGTCTGTAAACTTCAGTACTTCTACTTTCTATCTGTAAACTTCAGTTCTCCCACTTTCTGTCTGTAAACTCTACTTCTTCTACTTTATATCTATAAATTACAAATCTCCCACTTTATACCTGTTAACTCCAACGTTCTCCTACTTTCTATCTGTAAAATCTAGTTCTCTCCTACTTTCCATCTGTTAAATCCAGTTCTCCTACTTTCTATCTGTAAACTCAAGTTCTCCTACTTCATATCTGTAAACTCAAGTTCTTACACTTTCTATCTGTAATTTTGCAGGCATTAGTATAAATAGTAAGATAGAAAACAATTTTAACGGGTATTTCAGGTCATTTATTCAATTATATTTTTGTTGTGTCTTTCATCCGTTGGAGCTTTTATTTCATAACATAAATTTCCTTAGTAAGGGGGGGGGGGGGGGGGGGGCCCCCCCCCCCCTCCAGGAGCTCAGGTGAGGCCCTTGGGTATTTACAATAATGAAACAAAAAAGTTGTAACTCTTGGGAGTATCTTAATATATTTTTCTAAACTTTCAACTAATAATCTATTTACTAATGTATGGTGGTTGAACTGAGTATACAGTATTGTAGGATTTATTTGAGACATATAAAAGTTTCCACGATGTATAATTACTGAGTTTGTGTGCAACGTCGACGGTGCCGTGACAAACTCCTGAAAGACAAACTCCTGAAAGACAAACTCCGGAAAGACAAACTCCTGAAAGACAAACTCCTGACGAGACAAACTCCTGACGAGACAAACTCCTGAAAGACAAACTCCTGAAATTATGAAACTTTTCTCTGAATGAAATTTGATAAAATTCATAAACTTTAGAAGAAAAATCCGCAAATATTCTATAAAAAATTCTCAATCTTTAGTAATTTGAATATGCTTCTAGCAGCAAAGTATTACAATGATCAGAATAACCAGAAAATTTATTATTATTTAGGGTTAGGTTAGGTTGAGACACTTTCTGGGCCGAGCGCTGTGGCTAGGACAGGCTAGTGGGCCGAGCGCTGCGGCCATGGGTTAGGTTAGTTAAGACACTTTCTGGGCCGAGCGCTGCGGCTAGATTAAATATAAATCATGAAACATTTTTTTTAAATTTGATATTATGGAGTTTGTATTTCAGAATTTTTTATTTTCAAGAGTTTGTCTCGTCAGGAGTTTGTCTCGTCAGCAGTTTGTCTTTCAGGAGTTTGTCTTTTCAGGAGTTTGTCTCTCCAGAGTTTGTCTTTCAGGAGTTTGTCACGGCGCCAACGTCGACGTTCACAATTTTGAATTTGGGTGGGTACGTTTTAAGAATCGTTTTTTAAAATTAATTACAACGACGAAAAATAAAGTAAAAATTATACAGTAAACTAATTAGATGTTTAGGGACATATTTCTCAAAAGAAATTTGTCAAAAAATCAATGTTAGAATCAAAATTGTGTTGTTTTCATTATTTTATTGAATTTTTTATTTTCTATGAATTTATTCGCAGATTTTTACAAATTCTTCAAATGTCTTTTGTTCAATTAAAATTCCATAAAATCTGCAGAAAATATTTGTGAAGAATGAGATTATAGAAACTAATAATTGAATAAGATTGCTTATTTCCGATAACCGATTCTGAAAACGTATCCACCCAAATTCATGAGTTTGAACGTCGACTTTGCGCTCAAACTCGGTAAATATACGTCGTAGAATTAAACGTTTTATATGTTTCAAATAAATCCTTAAAAATTCGTCCACAATACTACATATTTAGTTCAATCACCATACATTGCCGGTCACTCCCTTTAAGCTGAATTCATTTGTAGGCAGAAGCAATGTTTGTTCTGTAAACACACCAACTTTTGCAAAAGAATCGAAGAAAACCAAAAAAACAATGAAACATAAAGGGTGTCAGCAATAAATAATTACTTACTACTTACTTTCTTAATTAGTTATGGCCTTAGAACAGAACCGTTCTTTCCTCTTTTAAGAATGTTAACACAATATATCTTCATGCAGTGTATCGTTTTCTATATGTAAACTTACCTATAGAGAAATGACTGAAGTGTATTTTTAAATGCTTGGATATTCCTGTCCTATGGAAATTCAGTGTACCATATCAAAACATTGTTTCATCTTTCATTTCTAAAGTTTTCTAAGATTTTCGGGGTTGTCGAGTATTTTTCAGCAATTAAAAATATAAATTAAATAAGAATAATTCGAATCCTCTGCTTGAATAAATTTATTGGCTTTAACTTCACATAAATTAAAGAAAAATACCTTCATCAGTTTCACACGACCCCGTAACCCTCTTCCCTAAAATGCATTTACAAAATTGAATGTCCTTTATTTTGAGATTTACTGGAGCCTCTAATACATTGATAAGCAGGTAAACTATTCCTATTAAAATTTAGTCTCAATTAATTTTTGATAAAAAGATGAGAATTTAAACTTAACTCGAGCTTGAAGTATTTTAATATTTCAAGCAAGAAAAACGCGAAAATGTTCTTTTTACCTTTTATTGCAAGCAAACATTAAAAATCGCCTGAAATATTCCATGGGAAAAAAACATGCAACACAAACAATATTAACATGAGACATATTTTCTTACTTCCAATTTTTTAAAATGTAAAATACAATTTCAAGGTGAAAGTGGTGAAAATTAGAACGCTTCAGAGAAAAGGGTAAAAACTGTAACCAATTATCAAGATGAAACAATGTTTAACATTAAAAGTGTTTCAAAAACGGGCACTAGGATCCTATAAAATTATAAAACTATATGTGTTACATATATATGGTTAATATGAAAAGCTATCTAAAAACGAACTAAAAAAACGTTTATTAAATTCTATCTAAAAATAAATAAATAAATATTACAATATAACACTAGTAACGCTTTTACATAAAATATACAATTAAATAATGCTGTTTTGAAATAATAAAGAAAATAACACAGGGTCACTCACAAAAAATAAGACTGTAAAGATTAAATAAGTATTCTGCCATGAATATAGTCTTTTTGAGGCCTTTTTTAAAATTGAGTAATGAAAGAAACAATGTTATCGTTGTCTCTGAAAACTCATGTATTGTGTGTTACCATGAAAATAGAACCCCCCCCCCCCCCCCTCCCTACAAAAAAGTTTTGGGAACAAACTTTGTTTTTAAAAAACCATGATTTTTGTAGTAATACATGAGTTGCGGATAATTAGAGCGTTATTTTCATCGAGTGAAAAGATATGAACTAGGCGCTTTACTGTAAGCTATACTATTCTAAACTTTCGTGAACTGTACTGTTTAAATGCAATATTTACTAAGTCCTTGTTTAAAACTCAATACTTTAATAAAATAATGGTTTCTTAGTCCGAAAGGCTTTTAAAACAAAACCAAGACTATAGCTATAATGAACATCTACAAAATCGATGTGTTTATATTCTAAAATTGTTAAACTTAAAGAGACTGTATTTGTATATTCGTATCAACATATCAACGAATAAACGTATCAACGTACCTACGTATCAAGGAATCTACGTTTCTACGTATCTACATATCAACGTATCTCTACATATCAACGTGTCAATGTATCAATGTATCAACGTATCTATGTATCAACATATCTACATATAAAGGTATCTACATATCAACATATCAACGTATCAACATATCAATATATCAAAGTATCTACGTATCAACGTATCTACGTATCAATGAATGAATTGGTAAAAAATAAATAGAGAGATGGGATAGAACTTGATCTCTGTTACAAGAGAGGGGGCTGGTGGTTTGAAGGGGGGGGGGGGGTGCAAAGGGCACAGTCCCATTCCCATTTAACAGAAGACGTGTTTCATGAAAAATCATTATTCTAAGAAAATTAAGCGCTAATATTAAATTTTTACTCTCGTTCATGTCATTTTAAACCACCAGTCTCTTTAAATCAAGGCATTATAATAATTCTGAATGTTTCCTGGATCTGCATGAGATGTCTGATCTCGCGTCTTCAATATCACTGTAAAGAACCAACTCTCCGCCTGTTAACATCACCTGAACATTATGCACCTCTTTAACTGTCGTCTTTGATTAAAAAAAAATAATCCCACTTCCATGCTCTATACCACATCAATTCCTTCTACATATATCAAATGAAGAAGAAACGGCTGTAAAAAAGATGGAGGGAAAGTACTTAAATATTTGAGGTAAAACCACAAGTGAAAATTCAGAACTGAAACTCTATTGGGATTAAAGGTTTTTAAATCGATGCTTGATCTCCTCTTGTCTTCAATTTCAATATTAATTTAATCTTATAGTCTGTAAAATTTAACCAAAACTTAAAACTGGAATGGAGTCAATCTTTTCAATTTTTTCCTAAGTATAATTATTTTATTCCTGAGAGACTGTTTTATTTCTAAAACCATAAAAGACAACCTTTTAATATTTCCAATCAAAAGAACTTTCAAGAAATAATGTTTCCGAAATGTTTTTTCTTTTTTTTTCCAGTTTGTCTGTGATAACTTTCCATTATTAAAATCCAATGAGTTTTTAAAACACTGTTTGAGCCGTCTCTCACTTATCATGTTCATGTTTAGTGGGCAACACTGCAAATTTTTCGAATAACGTTTTTTCTTCATTATTTACCTTTTCATGAAGCTCTTTACTCTCTACTGTTGGTTGACCTTCATTCTCCACTACAGCGTAAACATTCACCTTGTATACCACATCAGGCTCTAATCCCTGCCAAACAAAAGTGAACCATGAAAGAAAGAAAATCAGTTTAAACTCAATTTTGGACAAAAATAGCCCAAAATAGTTTTAATTAGCTAACAGTTTTGCAATTAGGCAATTGACACATAGGTTTTATTGGTTGATTGCCTCATGACTGTTGTAAGCTTAATTTCAAGTGACCCTCAATGCAAAGATGACAATGCCCAATTCACAACTGTACCCTTGAAAGCTTTTTCAGAAGTAAGAATTAGTTATCAATGTTTATTATTTTGAAAACTGATTATTTTCATTTGGAATCCTTGGAGATGACACTAAAATGAAAATAAACATTAATATTAATGACAAACGTTCGCAATTTCTTTAGCGAAGATTATATAATCTTTAAAGCAAACGTTTAGTAGAAATTAATTATGAATTCTTTTCAAAAAAGTTTTTAAACAACACCTTTATTAACATAGCAGAGGCTGTCGAGGGCTTAAACATAGTTATGTTTTTTATTATTAAAAATCTGCAATCTTCCTAACTGGTGTTTCTAAAGGTTCCTGAGGGTTTAAAAACAAGCATACCAGAAAAAGGTATTGAACAATGGACATTATATATATCAAAACGGTGGCTTATTTATTTTAAATGCAGTTAGGGACTGTAGACATAATTTTGATTAAACCTACACAAAATGTGTTTATTGACAGATTCGCAACTGAAAATTAGCAATTACATTGTCTCAAGGAGTTAGGAATAGAAGGGAGATATGACTGACGCGGTTATTTGATTATGCGTGCTTTGCAGACGGGTACTCCATTTGTATAAGAAATATTCAAAATAGGTTTTTGTATACGCGGCAATTGTACATCAGACAAATATTTCTTATACAAATGGAGTACCCATCTATTAAGCACTCATCATATGGTAGGGCAAACCGCGTCAGTTATATCTCCCTTCTATTCCTAACTCCCTGCGTTGTCTCTATTAAAAAGGCTTATCTAGAAAGAAATTGACAGAACGTAACTCTATTTGGGATGGAAAAACTCAAATATTTGTCACTCAGAGGGGTCCAATAATCATGATTCAGGAATGTAATTTTAACTCTGAAAATTATGGGTCACTTGAAATCACTTTAACAGAAACTTCACATAATAAGTAAGTATCAATTTATTCCTGCAAAACAAGTTTACAAGATCTAGATATACCTGGAGAATAAGTTTACAAGATCTAGGTATACCTGTAGAATACGTTTACAAGTTCTAAATATACCTGAAGATTTACAAGATCTAGATATACCTGGAGAATAAGTTTACAAGGCTCTCTATCCATAGGTGAGCTTTCAAGTAATGTTTCCTGAGCTTGTGATCCCTCTTCTGCTGCTCGGTACCTGATCTTGTAGTAACTAAATATATAATAAATATTAGGATATATTATTCATTGTAGTATTATATTAGAATATACTATTCAATGATCTATTAGTAACAAAAAATATAGTATATATTAGAATATACTATTGTTGACCATAAACCTATCTCTTTACACCCCCCCCCCTGCCCGGCGCAGCCCCAAATCCAAACCAAAAATTTCTCCCACTCTACCTTTTAACCCCGACAAAGGAAAATTAAAACAATGAAATGCTAACTAGTGAAAAATCAAATCCACAAATAACTTTGAAATCCAGAGTAAATTCCACTTAAACAACTGGGTTTATATTTTCAGAAGTATTTACACATTTTTTAAACTATTCCATCAAACCCTCCAATCCTTATCACCCTGACACGATAAAATAACTTTTAGTAACCTTGGTAGTGCTGGGTTCCCAAGCTAGCTGTTAATAAACTAGTTAAAAAATAATCAACTTGTCTGTTCCTGGTAAAAATCAAAAGGCTATTCGAAGGTCAAAAAAGAATAAAATATTATCTTATTAAAATCGTTTAAAAAGCCTATAGAAATAATAAGCCTATAGAAATGTTCTTGGAATATAATAAGCCTATAGAAATGTTCTTGGAATATAATAAGCCTATAGAAATGTTGTTTAAATATAAAAAGCCTATAGAAATGTTCTTGGAATAAAATACACTCATTTAACCAAGCAAAATACAACATGTTCAGTTAAGTTTAGTTTTTTATAACTAATTTTAAATTGATTAGATTTTTTGGAAATGTGAAAAAGGAGTTTGCTTTTCTATTGTTGGTATCTTATAAACCTCTAAAGTCTAAATTTCTTAAAGAAACACAAACTAAAAGAACTTTCAAGTAAAATAAAGAAACTTATCTCTTTCTGAGAACAAAAAATATTAATTCAACTCAAGATTAAACCCATTCCAGTGTAAAAGCGGATTAATGTTTCTAATTCAAAAGTTTAGATTAGTTCTATTTTGGGTTAGTTTTGGATTGTGCATACTTTTTACAATTTAACTAAGAGGGGCGTAAAAAAGGATTTTCTGGGATCTAGTGTTTACATTGCANCTAGGTTTCATTTCAATTTCCCAATCATTTCTGCAAACTTTATCAAATATAAGGCTTCCTTTGCCACCTTCAGCTTTCACCTGACTTAATTAATACATTTTATTTATATATAATTTAATTTATTTATTTTTATACTGCTTTTGAAACTTATGTTTCTCAAAATCCAACTAAATGTTAAACTGATGAGTGAGACCGTTTTTCCTAAGTCTCTATTGGACACCTTTATGATGTATAACTGATTACATTGACTATCTACATTTATTCTGTAAAAAACTGGATTTATTTCAATCATTGTTCATATATTATATATATAAATGTATATTTTAATTCCACTGAATAAAAGAGAAATGTCTTACTTTTTAAAATTTAATTCTTGATAATTTGATCTTTTAACATTAATTTTCCACCCCCCAACCCCAAGAGCTTTATACCTAATTTGACATATAGTGCACGAGTGCACGTGCGCTACTATATTATAAAATAGATTTGTTGGTAAAATTTATTTAGAGAATGGAGATCAAGTTTCTAAACGAGGATTTAACCTCCCTTATTTTACGCCACTGTCAACTAAATATAAATGAAATGAAGTACATACGTTTGTAATAAAAAACTTGTAATACAACTATACTAGCTATGTATTGTAATTAGATTGTATTCCTACGTAATTATGTTGAACTTATCATGTAACATAGATTTTCTAAATAGAGATCAGTTATAATCAGAACTCCGCTTTGATTACAGGGTAGAGTAGTCATACCCCGTTGAGATCATACCTCGTTATAAGGTAGAAATCACTTAAGGGCTGGATAAGTAGCCAATGCTTGTGTCCTTGTGTGGTATTTAGAGCTTGATTAATAGCTTGTATGATAGCTACTCTTGTGTCCTTAGGGGGCATTCAGAGTAAGAGAAATAGCTTGGTTTATAGCTACGCGTGTTTCCCTGTGTGGCTTAGAGCTTGAGTGGTAGCTATATTGATAAGCTAGGCTTGTGTCCCAGTGGGATATTTAGAGCCAGGCGGGTTGTGTCCTGGTTGAAATGGATAGCAGTTCCTGTTTGTGCCTGGACTAACACAGTTTAGGGGAAGAGCTTTTAGGAGTACGGCATTTATTACATGTTGAGCTAGCAACAGTTATGAAATGATTAATTTTTAAATAAGTTTAATTCATTATCTTTTTGCGAGTCGATTAAATTCTGGTTTGAACCTGAATCAGGTTATATTAATATGATGCATTCAAATTCGTCAGTTGATATTTTCAGTGTATAAATAAGCCTTTGTTTTAATCGTCAAAAAATATCCATAATCAGTATCAATTATGATTATTAAAATTTGAGATTTTTAACAGGAAATGATGTTTCCCTAGATACGATACCTAGATCCACAGGTATTGTTCAGCTATTAACATGATGGGGCAACATCAATTCTCCATTTCGCACCTCTTTAATGCACATGAGTCTCTTATATTCTTAATTTCGGGTCCTAGCTCTGTATCGCTGTACCAGAAATAAAGAATATAAGAGACTCATGTGTATTAAAGAGGTGCCCATTAAATAGTGCAATAAACTTTTACCTGACATTTGGTGTCGGCGATTTAGTCCATTGAACTTCATTTGTTCCTAGTGCCACACTTAGATTAGTTGGAGCAAGGGGTTTAGTACTGTATTCACCCACCAGGGGGTCAGAGTCAACCTAAATAGCATGAAAAAATGTAAAAAAAACCACAAGGATACGGATTGAAGAATTATTTTAATTCAACCGGTTTAATGGATATAAAACCTGTTGTTTGAAGTAACTTTGTTTCTTTATATTTTACCCAAAAGAGGAAAAACCCTGTCATGTTTTGATACAAATAAACAATTTATTTTATGTATAAAAAGAACTTTTGGCAGCAAGGGCATATACAGGGGGGGCAAGGTGGAAGTGACAGTGCCCCCCCCAGACCTGTAAGGGAAGAACGTAGCCCCCCCTAGAACTCAGAGCTTTCACATAAAAAAATTAGTTTGCTGTTTATTCAGTGCACTGAGAAGATTGCATACGTGGTCTAGAACCACCATGACAGAAGTCGGAATAAAAAATCTTTTTAGAATGCACATTCATCCTAATTGGATGGGCGCTATCAGGAATAGTGAAGTAAAACAATTATTTTTAACTGCTAAGCCACAAAGGCTTCAATTTGGAGGTAGTTAAAGACCATTTTTAGCTTTTTTAAATTTGGATTTAATTTACTTTATTCATTGCACCGCCGTTTTGTAATTTTTCTTTTTATTACAAGCTAGCTTAAGTGCCAGGCGGCCCTTGGAATTTTAAAAATCGAATTAAAACAATATCTTATAATTTATTCAGCTTCTGTCATCCCCAAGGGTATCCACGAGTTTCCTCACTAAAATTTAGCCCATTTAATTCAGCCATTTGGCCAGCCATAGCAAACATATGACATGAACGAAGAGCTTTATTATATAGCTCACAATTTGTTCAAAACAGAAATTTTTATATATCATAATTTTTTTCTGGACCTTTGTCCTTTTTTCATCTAATAGAATTTAAGTTTAAGTTGAGTTTTTCATTTTCAAAATGTATGATAAAATGTCGATTTTTTTAAAAAATGTGTTTTTTTCTGCTAGTTTTGTTTGAAGGAGAGATAAGGTATAGTACATGCAAGGTATCTGGATTGTATGTGTACCTTTAAAGTATCTTATACTTATACCTGATATCCAAGAAGCCAAATGTTTTGAATTTACTGTTCAAATTTTGCCCCCCCCCCTAATAGTATCTAAAGGGGGGCAAATTTCGCCCCCCCCCCCATAGATTGTTCAGCTGGTTGTCCCATTCAACATCTCAGAACAAAAAATAATCCATTTCATTTTTAACATTTTAATCTTGATTATTATTTCAACAATAACTCTGATACCTAGAAAGGCCATCCAAAAGTTTATCGAGAAAATTTAACGAGAAAAGTTGAAATAAGAAGACAGTAACCACTCTGAAATCTTTAAAGCATTTAGCGATACAATTAAAAAATAAAAATTTTAAATAAATAAAAATAACGTTTTGAAAAATACAAATAAAATGTAAAAAAAATGATTTTCACCTCTTCACCTGAATCCACCATTAGGGAGCAAATAACCTGCACTGTATAAACTTCACCTAAACACATATAATAAATCATACCTTTTTAGTTTTTTTTAATTTAATATTTGAAATAAATCTTAAATCTCTTTAATGTTGAAATAGGAACTGATCTCCCCACTATATTTATATTTTTTATATTTAAAACACTTAAAATTTTAAATACTTCATCTAGCAGTTGTTTAAGAAATAGGGATTCCAAAATTAGAATTTTCGGCAAGAATTTGCAGTTCCAAACTTTGCTTTAAACAAATGAACATAGTAAAAATACATTCATATTTTTATCTGAAATAAATCAAATTAAAAAAAATATTCACAGAAGTTCTCCTACCTCATTCTTTTTGTGGTTTATTTGTAATTAGAGTAAAAATTGAAAATGTAGGTTTGTCTACTTTGTCGACTAAAGATACTCAGACTAAATTTGAAACTTAATCTTTAAAGCTTCTAAAAATTCCAGTAAATCCTGGTTTAAGAAGAAAAGGAATTCTTTTAAAGAGAGTAGTAAGTAGATGTTAGAAATGTAAACAAGGGATTACAATACCAAGACAAAAAAGTAATCCCAGCCTCATGAGAACTTATTCAAATCTCTGAAAAGCTGTCTTTATACAAAATGCATATCAATTTTAAATCAATAAAACATTTGGTTTTATTTTTTGAAAAAAATGTTTTTTTCAAAAACATGCATCAATAAAAATTCAAAAAGGTTGTGTCCAGACTCCAGAAAGAAGTACTCAAATAAAAAACAATAGCTATAAATTCCAATTCCATTGAAGAGGATTCTCAATTATTTCCCAAAAGTATTTTGATTCATTGTAATGAATAGGATGAAAAGAAAAAATCAATGAATAGATTATAATAAAGGGATTGAACGGATTAATTTATATATAAAGTTACAAATGCAAGTTACATGGGTCCTATTTACCATTGTTAGAGAAAAAATTATGGAATTATTTTGGTTTTCTATCCAAAAATTGACTATTTCAAAATCAAGGAAAGATCGAAATTGACAGTAACTGTTTTAGGACAGATGTTATCTACCCTGTTCTTAGATGTTTAAAGAGTACCATTTCAGGGTTGACTCAATCAGGGTCTCTGTACATTAGAAGTACAATTACAGTCCCTTAAAAACAGATTTCTACCTGTTCCCTGAATATCTGGAAGTTTAGAAAAGGTAAATGTATCTCTGTCGGCAGGTATTTCCATGTAGTTGCTGTAACCTATTCTTGGAGACTGGATTCCTATCTTGTACTTGCTGGATTGTCTGTACAGAAAACATAGTTAAGATATTTTACTAAAGAAGATCGGACTGTTCGAAAATTGCAAATAATTTGTTCAAAATTTCAATTGTTATCCTTATACACTACCAGTTAGGATAGTTAATCATAGTCTGCAAAACATTCAAGCACAATATAAGATGGATGTTAAGGAATTTTTAATCAAGTCAAGTCAAAGATATTTTCTTTCTTTTCCATTTAAAAAATTGTATTACCCTAAAATGACTGCCGACTCCCATTTGATGGTAAAACTGTTGCACTGCTGGTTTTCAAGAACTAAATTCTGGGGTGGAAGGGGCTTGGTTATGAACTGGATTTCTTCTTTGGTAGAGACCGTCTTCAGATGCTCATAGATACAGAGACATGTGACCGAAACAGTGAATTCAGTAGCAGGTGCAAGGTTATCGACTAAGAATGAGTGGAGAAGGGAATCATTAAGCATTTTGATTCCAAATTCTCTTGAAATTTTGTTATCTTTAGATATGCAAGACAAGTTAAAAGCTTTCAGCGTCAATGTTCGACGTGGGACGTTCCATTTGATGATAACTTTGTCTACCTGAACATCTTCTGCCCTTAGTGATTGCACAGGCAAAGGTTGGGTCATTCCTATATCTATCAGAGGTTTTTTGGTTTCATTGTCACCTGTCTTAGTTTTCAAGACAACAAGATATGCTTCTCCGGGAAACAGTCCTGTGATGCTTGCAGAGGTATCTTTGCAGCTCAGCTCTTTGTCCCAGCCATCTTTACTGATTTCAAATTCAGGGAATATGTTGAAATCAGCCTCTGATTGGTTTGATGAAAGGTTGGTTAGTCCAGTAAGCCCTGATATATTTGAAAGACTTGACATTTTTCTTAGTTCAGGGGCGGCCAGACACAGAGAGGACATGCATGGGTCTACTGAAAGTACATATTTGGTAAATTCTCCCTTTGGGCTTTCCCAATGAATTTCAAGTTCTGTAGTTGTGACTGACTTGATAACTCCTGTGCGTGGTCTTTCAGGGCCATAAGGGAGAAGAGTGGTGATTATACGTTCTCCTTTCATTCTAGATTTTCCAATAACACAGGCTATTGTTACAATGTACTCAGTTTTACCTCCATTCAAGTCAATAAAGCTTGCACTGTAATAATCATCATTGGCCAGAACATATTCATCCTTTGCCATCTTAGTGATTGTGTGTCTACTAGTCTCTGCGGGGAAAATTGTTACCTCGTAGGAATCTACAGAGACAGTTGTAGACTTGCTCTTGCACCACTTCTCTATTCTTGCTGCTTGCCAAACTACTTTCAGACGATCCTCCTTAACCTTAACAAATTCTGCTTCTGATGCTCTAATTCTTGGTTGACATATCTGCTGAAATGTATGATCAGCATGGGTTAGAACTCTCAAAGTTGATTCAATGCCTGACGTGTGGGCTAAAAGATCAAAGAGGAAAATAAAGTCTCTTCCCTCTTTAGCAATTAGGATAAAGTCCTCAGCAGATGATACCTCCTGAATATCTCTCAGCAAGTTGGTGATATCCCGGAAGAAAAGACACCATATCAACGAACCTGTTGAGCAAACCAGACAAATCACTTGTAAAGCAACACTAAAATAGAGAAGGATTATGAAAAAAGAAACTTTCTTTCCATCACACTGAAAATGAGCTTGACCACCTGGCAGTCCCAGACCCATGTCAGCTCCAACATCTATTATACAGATTGAAGATTCTAGGTTTGGCAAGGAATCAATGGCAAAATAGATATTGATTGGTATGAATGCCCATAACAGTAGCTGCTCCATTACATTTTTCATAACATATGTAAAGAACAATGTGTTTGATCTCTTCAACGAATTACAAACTTCATTACGCTGCCTTTTTCTTGAAATTGCCTCTTTGTTAGCCTTTTCATCACAAACATCTTCTGCCACATCAGAGTTACGACCATTAAGTGAATCTTCTACTATAGTTAGATAGAACCTCTCAACTTTCCCAGATATTCTTGGAAGCTTGGTCAGAAATTTCTCAATGAGTATGATCAGTAAGGCTTGCATAAGAAGAATGTAGGGTAAGCTTTGCATGAATTGCGTCATTGATTCATCCACACAAGCTCGGTTAAAGTTTGCATATGCTACAAGGGGAGTTGCCGATCCACTTGGGTATGGTCCTAATTCATGATCGGGACTGGAACCATTTCTAACACCTGTAAAATTAAATGCCTAAAAATGTTTTTATAAATTTAAAATATTTGTCTTTAAAATATATCAGCTTGAACAACTTACCCAAAACCATACAGTTAACATCTCCTGAGCCTAATGTAGAAAGAAGACGAACAGATAAAGCTATTGTCCCAACAGCAATAAGACCATAACACACATAGTCTTCAATGACATCAAGGGTATGCTTGAATATCTGAACAATTTTAAAACCATTTTATTATGAAATCTTTTTGCCTTTGTAATGATTTTCAATTTAAGTTCACAGACTTTATGTCAACATTTATTAACTTTTACCTTCTGATATGCAGGCTCTATGAGCCAGGTTTTGGCCGCTTCTTCTATGGGTCCACTCATGGTGCTCTAGATACAAAAATTATAGATGTTGTACAGACATTTTTTTAACAGAAAATCTGAAGGAATTGTAGATCTTATCAAAATAGTTTTATGAGTATAGACATTTTATTTGTAACTGAAAAAAAATCGTATTTTCATATACACTTCAAAAGAATTGTTTAGATTTTGGTAATCATCTGTTCTTAGTCTTTTAAATTTTGAACCTCTTTTAAGGTTTGAAAAAAAACCTTTTTAATCAAATGTATATTGTAATATGTAATATTTAAAACATTTTTTTTGTCATTTCAGTATATTTTGGTTGGCCCAAGGAATTTACAATTCTCTAATACAATTGTTACACTAAGTAGTAATCACGCTAAAACAAAACAGAAACCCTAAAATAAATCTAAGAAAAAAATATTATATTTTACAATAATCAATAATCCAGAATAAAATTTAAATATAAATTTATGAAATTCTGGCTGAATATTACAAAAATATCAATAAATAATGATTGAATATTAGTCAAAAATTAGTAAGTCAAGTAGTTAAATATATTTTTTTGAAAATTAAGGCTAAATGTGGTTTGTGTGCGTCAACCAATTTTTGATTAATAAGTAAAAGTAAAAGTAAAAGTTAGAAAACCACTTTCAAAGATTAAAATGTCAGATTAATTAAAGATTAATTCTTAAAAAAACAAATGAGATTAAACAGTAAGCACACAGTGTCAAAACTTTCAATGCGTTTTTCAACATATTGGAACAAAATTTAGAAAAAGATAATATAAATTCAGGAAAAAAGCTTCGAGAGGGGGCTCTTTCGCTAACCCCCCCCCCCCCCCGCTTTCTTCTTTATATTGCTTCTATCACAATCTATTGAAGCACAATCTACTGAAAAAAGGTTAACCATGTTGCCTTAGATGATTGGATGAAAACAGTGTTGACAATACTATCAATAAATAAATTAACAAACCTAACTGGGATAATAAGGTTAACAAATATCACTGAAATCAGTATTTAACGTCATTTTTCTTAACCCTATATGACGTGGGTTACTAAGTACCTCTACACTAAGGACTTATTTGTACACATTTTTACAAATGCATACAAAGAGGAGAGGTCCCCCCTCTGTTTAAGAAGGAGTGTTCTTAACAAACTAAATATCTGATACAAGTCGAATTTTTATGAAAAAATCTGATATTGCATTTTTCTTAACCTTCCCCTTCTTAACCCTAATCCAGTCTAAAAAAAACACAGGTAACCTTAGATAAACTAAACCTTTGAGACGTCTGATCTTTAAAAATTCAAATTGATAGGAGTATTTTTTTGTAAATGATTTTATAAAATCTAAAATGTATTAAGATAATTATTTGCATTAATCATGAAAGTTTTGTAATCTTGATATTTTTTAACATTATGAATACTATTCAAAATACATTATTTATCAATATTGCTGAAAAGGATGAAATGTATATATGTATATATTATCTGATTAAAAATGTCTTCAGGACAAACGAATATTGGTTAAGAAGTAAAGTAACATTGTGGAATAGAAAGAAGACTTCTATGATTCATGTTATGACTTTAAACAGTCCGATGAACATGTAACAAAGCAATTGTACAAGGTTTTGTCGTTTTATAGGTTTAAAAGTGTTTAATTTTGATAACTCATATACATTTTCCTGTAGTATAGAAAGCAAATTTCTTTAATAGAGATCACACTATTTAAAATAATTTGTTGTCCAAATTGTAAACATTGATATTAATTCATATTTGATCATGCAGACGACGACGCTTTAAAAAAAAAGTAGTTGTGAATCAGGGATCGACATTTTTACATGAAGAATCACTGAAATTTTACTTACAGATCCTTTAAACTAATTTAGGTAAAGAAACAGAAGTTAGTAAATCGCAATTGTACTTTGCCCAGACCAGGCCCTAATCGGCCTGTCCCTGCTCACAGTCTTTGTTCTTCATTACAATAAAACTAGTTTCTAATTTATTCATCAATATGATGTACACAATTTCTATTAAGATTCTTGTTTCAAGTTAAGATGACGTCATATATTAGTAATCAAACAAACAACAAGTCTTAAGTAAAAAATGCTTACTGATATTTGATTGGATCGGTCCAAATCCATTGCATTCTTCCCACTATAGTATTCGACTGATGACGTTAGATGTTTAATAAATAAAATAAACAATTATTCCATTCTCTGAGGATAGTATGAAGACAACTGTTTTTAAACAAAATAAACAAAGGAATTGAGTCTTTGTAACAAACTCTGGTTTTCTAATCCCCTATATCTTTTCAACCCAGTGCAGTAGACCTTTAATATTTCAAACTATGAAATTTGTTAGATTAAACAATCTAAGTTTGAAATATCAAAGGTTTACAACAACCGGTTGCAGAGATATTGGCTTTAGAACATTTGAATTTGTGGCAAAAACTCAGATCTTTTATTGCATTCTTTCCACTCTAATATCCGACTAATGACGTCAGATATAAATAAACAAAATAAAATAAAAAAATTATTGCAATCTCCCCACTTTAGTATACAACTGATGACGTCAGATGTTCAGTGTTCAAAAAGAACCAGAGGTCATCTATTAAACATTATTATGAACATTGCCATTAGAGTAATGTAATTACAGACAATATTATATTCCCTTATGTAAGATAAAGATTTCTTACCAAAAAATTTATCCTTAGCGCACTAATAACTTACTCTTAGATATATAGATTTTAATTTAAAGTTCAAGATTTTTAAAATTAACTGGCCGGGCCATTGAAATATGAACTGGAGATATTTCTTGGAGGTGGGTAAAATTTACCCACTGTTCCCCCAGATGGTTATGTATTTCAAGGTAAAATTTACCCACTCTTCCCCCAGAAGGTTATGTATTTCAAGGTAAACTTTACCCACTGTTCCCCCAGAAGGTTATGTATTTCAAGGTAAAGAAGGTTATGTATTTCAAGGTAAACTTTACCCACTGTTCCCCCAGAAGGTTATGTATTTCAAGGTAAAATTTACCCACTGTTCCCCCAGAAGGTTATGTATTTCAAGGTAAAATTTACCCACTGTTCCCCCAGAAGGTTATGTATTTCAAGGTAAAATGAGAGACTGGAATGTTCTAAGCTTGGTTTAACAGTTAAGTGAGTTGACTTTTATAGAGAACGTTTATTTTCGAGGCGATGGCGGTTTCCCAAGCTAATATTACTGATATTAATAATTCTTGATCTTAAGTTTCATTTTATTAGTATTAATATATTTGTTTTGAAAATTTGTTCGCTTTTAAATCACAAAATCAGCCCCATTCCTCCTTGAATACTTTTCCAAATGTTTATTTTATTTAACCTTTAAGTCAGAATTATATTTTACCAAGCTTACAACAATAAGCCACTTAGCCTTTTTACCATAATATTTCTCATCCCAGACCCCCCCCCCCCTTCATCTTAGTCTTCTCAGCAGGATTAAGAAAATGTATCTTCTTTAAAGAAAAGACCAAATAACTTTGTTTCTGCATTTTCAATAGAGAAATAGCATCGATTATGTGTAAATTGGAAATGTGGGGAGGGATTTCATGTGCTTAAAACACCCTGTAGCTCCTTTTGCCAGCATCTTCAGGGTCTTTAACAACATACAGGTCAAAATCCTAATTAATTGTCAGTCTTTGGTTTGCATATTACACATTCAATTTCATCAAACCATAATTTGTACATTTACTCTCCACGTATTTTTTCTCCATTATGCGACAAACTGAGCCCCCCTCCAGCTCCTCCATTCCTTGATATAAATAATCTAACCTCCGACCCCCACCCTCAAACTCATTCGTGCATATCCATAATCCACATCACCACCATAACCCCCAACTCTATTCATGCATAGCATATCAATATTCCAAAAATGTGAAGTGAAACAAAACAAAAACAATTGTTTTCTCATCTGATTTCAATTTCTTGTTTTTCACTTCTTTTGATCACTTTAAAAAAAAATTTAAAACAGTTTTTTAAATGATGCAAGAAAGAAAAAGCTGACAAGCCAAATTGTGTTCTATCTATTTTATTGTTATTGTGCATATTGGATGAAGTATGAAAAAATAAAAATTAAATCTGCAATTAACAAAAAAAGTTAAATCAAAAATCTTAACATCTTTAACATTTCCTTGCACTTAGTCCCAAGTATTCGACTGATGACGTTAGATGTTTAATAAATTCCCCCCTTCTCCTCGACCCCCGGGCCTGCATTTATTTATTTTGGATTGACGCCAATGATGCAGAAAAATCTAGAATCATAAACTATGAAATGTGTCAGAATATTAGTATTGATATACTTAAAAGGGGGCTGAAAAGGTAACTTCAAGCGACCTCCATTAAAAGATTTAAGTTACCCATGTGTACTCCATTCGAGTAATTTTGATGAAGCATTCGTCGTCATTTAATTGTAAAATTCTGACAATTATCTTTGTCCCTGTTGCATAAATTCATTATTCAAATTGAATTTGCCGCTATTAAGTACATCTTAACTTTAATATTTCAAAATTTTATATTACGTCACATTGTCTCACTTTAAAATGCATGCAAACTTGCTAAAAAATCCTTTGCTTTCAAGAGCGTCAAATCAAGTTTTTTAGAGTCTCGCTCTGAATAGGTTAATTATGTTATGCAGCTCTTTCACTTTATGAATAAGATTAGGATTTTGGATTTCGATTTTATCAATAAAAGTCATTAGTTCCAGGATTGATAAATTAATGCCACGGGGCTAGAATGTCCAAAAAGATAAAACATATAAAAATGTACAATATCTAATTTTACGATTTTGTTATTTTTACTAAAATCCTACAAACATTTTGAATAACATTCTTTGAATTAAAAGAAAGAATAGTCATCAAGCATACTGTCTGAATGTTATTTTAGACTTGTTCCTTTGCAAAACTGAAATAACTTTTTAAAACCAATTCCGTAAGCAAATTGCAAAAGTTTTGCAAAATAAGTTGAATGCTTTTGTGCACGTAACATAAAACTAACTGAAAATTTGATTGATCATATAGAAAGCGAATAAAAAGCATTTTTAATTAAGATTAATTAGAACACCGGATATATTTTATGTATCCGGGTTAAAACGTTATTTAATGGAATCATATGATAATTGATTAATATCAGAGATACTATAAAATGTTCTTAAATATCGACGTTTTCATGATGAAAAACTTTTCAAAGCAATTACGAAGCACAAGAGAGCAAAATTTGTGTACTCATTTTGTTAAAGCCTTAAACAATTTTGTTTTTTAATTGCTTTAAGAGGATAAAAACTGATTGGTTAGAAAAAACTCATTTAAAAACATCCTCTTAACTAAGCTTTGTTACAGTACTATACAAGCATCGAAATCAGTCACAGAAAGTTAGTCATGCAAAAAAACAAGTTGAAAAAATAAGTCGTAAATAAGCATTCAAATATAAAAAACCAATTGCTTTCAAAAAGAGAAAAATAACATGATATAACAGTAACATATCCTTGAACATCACTTTATTTATACTCACCATGTAAAAAAATCAACAAGTACAGTATTGTATTAAAAAGTTCAAAGATATATCATTCAAATTATGAAAAGCAAACAGCTGTTCTTGTTATTTAAAGGGACTGATGATGTATCTTCAAATGACTTTCCATTTCTCTTTAAAGATACTTGCGGATTTATGCAGTAGAGACTTTGAAGGAAATTGGAAATTGTTCCTCATATTTAGGAATCAAGGGATGTAACTCTTTTAATAAATGAGCACTGGAAATAATATATTCATATAATGAGTAATGACCCTTTAGTAAGCTCTCTTTAGAGTGCCCGGGCCCTTTAAAGATTGATTATGAAAAAGTTGTTGAATGACGTATCTTTCAAAACTCTTCACTTTGGAGCTCTTGACCAGTGCGCTTATTCAACTTTTTTCCAGCAACTATCATATTTCTTGGAAATAGTAAATACCTTAAATATTTCCATCAATTAATAATTTAATCAAAATAACTAAAATTCTCGATTGTTTTTTGGAGGAAAATTTAGGAGTCCTATTCTGAATGATTTGCATGAAAAAGACCGCTGATCAGAGTGGCATAATTATGCCCGAAAAAAATTATATATTTGAAAACAAACTAACTTCGAAAACCATAATAGCCAGTAGCTATGCGAAGTGCGCTGGTCAGAGTATCAGAAGTCAGTTGTATCCTATGAATACCGATGACAGGTTTTTAAAAGTTTCAACGAATACAACAAAATGAAACTTCCAAAGAGAGGCTAGTTTAAACAGACTGCTGCCGTATTATTAAGAGTTCCTCTATTTAAAGCGTGCCATGTGTGATTCACAACGGTGTCTGGTCAATATTGTGAAAGATATTGTGATTTTTATCTCGGAAAGTAATTTATTCTCAAAATACTTGTGTATAGTCCCTTTTAAAACTATTTTACAGAAGTGTTAACTTACTTTTTTCGATGATCAGTTTTCAGGTGACATTGGACCAATTCTGCATCTTTGTATCTGAAATATTCATGTACCAACATTTTCATGGTAATTGATAGAAAGTTTTCCATATTCATAAAACCATTCCTAAAACTGTTTAAATGGATTTTGCGAATTCATTATATCAAGGCTTAAAATTCTATAAAATGTACATTTAAAATCAACAGAAAATTTTAAAAAATTTATCTGAGCAGAAAAACCTGTACACGGATAAAATAGAAGAAATGAGAAGATAAGGGTAAGTGTGAACTATGTCGCTGCGCTAAATCTGCATTTTAATAGTTTAAATTAAACTCGACTGCTACTAATATGCAATGTAATCTTGTAGTAAATGCCCTACTTCAGAAGGGTTTTTAAACCTGTAATAATCCAGGTACAACTCAATCTCACTTTACAAGCAATATCAAACCAGACACAATCTATCTGTATGGGCACGATCTCACAAGCTATCAATGTCAATTGGGACGCAAGCTTGTAAACTATCAATATCAATAACCAATAGGCATGATCCTCAACTCGTTTTTTAAATCAAGGAACAATTACTATCTCACAGAAATCAGGTTCTATATCTATATCAACTAATTTGTATTTAGATATCTATGTTACAAGAAGTTAACGTTAATAGATGTAATTACAAGTTTCATTTTGATTAATATATAAAGAGTAGTTTAAGTTTCAGGTACATATTTACAGGACTAGCGCGGGTAGATATAACATAGTTAAGCTATCACAATACATGTTTACAGCGCAATTTAAGTTTTAATGTACGTATTTAAGATTAGTGTGGATATATAAAAGTGTAGGTTATCACAATACATATTTAATCATGTTACGTAGTTATTTAGGGCATAGATATTATAATTAATAATGTATACAACGTAGTTTAGGTTCACACGATATTTAATACAATAACTCGATATTTATTACAATCTTTTGATCAATTTATACATTTTATATTCAATTCCAATAGAATCTTGTTAAATTAACCAGTTTAAAAAATGGTTTTAATATGTATCTTGAAACAAATCAACCCCATTTAACCCGGGCGAGAAATTACACATTTGTC